TATCTCAGGAGTTTGGTACTATTACTATCCCCATTTTACTTACGAGGAAACTAGGAATCAGTGAAGCTAAATGACTTACTCAAGACCATACAGCTACTGAGATCCAGAGTCAGAACCAGAACCCAGATCCATCTGATTCCAAATCTTGTGCTCAGAACCTTTACATTCTACCCCACTGCCCCCAGGGTTTCTGCGCTTAGAGAGGTTAGGATAATGCTAGGTACATAGACATGTTCAATAAATATTGATAAGTTGAAAATATTTGTGATGCAAGGCCAGTGACACTAGCACACAATAGTGCATTATTTCAGTATATGCTGCAAAAGAAATTTCAATATTATAACTGCAAATTAAAGTACCCTGGCCGTTACTCCACTTCACAGTATATTGTCTTGCCTTAGAACTTCCTCTGTCAGGGAAGCCTATAATGATAATTGCAGCAAATACAAGTTTCTTACATAATGTCCATTCTCACCTTCTTTGTTCTAATAGAACCCTGACTTTGTTCAAGGCAAATATATGACCAGTTAAAAATACTCATCACATTCTCTTGCAGCCAGAAGTGGTCATGAAACACAGTACTAGCCAATAATATCAGTCTTCTGGGTAGGACTTACAGAAAAGCTATTGTTTTCCTAATATAAAAAATGGCAGACTCTGCTAGTATATGCCTTTTACTTTCAACCTTCCTCCCTTCTTGCCTGAAGTATGGACACAACATGTCAAGGAGGAGTGCCCACCTCATGACCATGATGAAAAAAGCCACACCTTCAGGAAGAGAGAAAGAAGCCACAAGGAACATAAGTTCTGCTTGCTTGTTTCTGAACTTCCTACTGAGAAAAATAAATCACTATTTGTTAATCTAATCTGGTAAATTTTCTGTTACACATATCCAGGTGCAATTCTAATGTAATTATACAGTAACTGATAATCCCAAATTATCAACAGGAAGTAAAATAACAGTCTAATAAATGTAAATTACAATTTCTGTAGTATTATCATGCCTCTATATTTAACCGTAGACTTTTTAGATATTTTGAATCATTCATTCCCTAGCTATACACTAAATGTAACTAAACAGTCCCTATTGGCCTTTTCTTTAAAGATACTATAAAAATCCAGGAAAATAAATCAATGAGTAATACAAAAATTGTTTACCAAAAAGAAATTTTTCCAAAATAGTTTTGGGTGTCAATAATCATATGCAAGTTTTATTTTTCTTTGTTTCCTGATTCCAGACTCTTCTGGCCAACAAACCTTAGCCCACTGATTTGCCCCTAATAAGTTACAGGTGTGCCAAGCTGCTGCTTCACTTCAGTTCAGGTCAACTGGGTAGGGCCTAGAGTGGCCAGAGCCCCCAGGGCTGGCTGCCTCCTACCACAACAGTCCTGTCCACTTACCTCTGTATACTATGCAAACATTCTCATTGTCTATGTGCATCACAATGTGAAAAAGGTTGAGAAGAACTACCCTCTATGACAGCTAGATGCTATCAAAATAATAACAGCAATGGAAAAAAATTACCTATTTATAGCACTATGGACAAAAAATTAGCTCACACACATAACATCATTTTATTCTCAGCAAAATCATGAGTGGTCAATAAGGCATTCATGTTTATTATCAAGGTTCAGAGATGGGTAATTTGCCCACTAACACATACTGCTAGGAAATGGCAGAGCCAGGACTTCTGAATCAAGGACTTCTGGATCTAAGCCCTGTGCTTTTTCTGATACACCTCCCTATATGATGACATTCCAAGTTTGTACAGATCTTTAAAATTAGCATTTTAATTTCATTCTCTAAGGAAAGTTCAAACGGCTTTCCTTCGTATTCTCTTGTGACTGCCATGCAAACACTAATGTATATGGAAACTGATACTCGCTTTGAACTTAGCAAGACTGAGAAAGCACAATATGAACTGACATATTTAGGTCATACCAATTTTCTTTTTACAGCTCCCATCCCCAACAATCAGAGAGCCAACTCTTGTTATTTTGTGTGAGTAGAAAAGAGAGTTTTTGCTCACCACTGTCCCCAGAAGTATCTATTAAAAAGAAAATAGTATGCTGCCATTGACCATGCTTAAGTTTTATTTTGTTTTGCCAATCACGATTTCTCATTGTCCTTTCATAAAAGGGAAAAATAGGGAGAAATGAAGGAAATTTTCAAAAGTAAATTACATATTTAACATATAAAAGGAAATACGAATTTTAAACACAGGGCAATTATTGTCAAGAGATATTATTGAAATAAAAAAATTTAAGTTTGCTACTCCTGTTTTAGAAAGCTAGACAACCAAAAGATTTCAATGGCTGGGAATAATATTTTAATTTCTTTATAGCAATGCAGAAACAAAGATGATACATGCACAAAATAGCAACGTATGGGGAAACATCTACAAGTAGCTATTATAGACAGATTAAAAAGAACAGGTAATATCTAAAATAGTAACAAAATACTAATTTTTCTCTTCAGAAAATAAGAACATGGTGGAATGATTGAGCATGGATGGCATAAAATAAGTGTAAGCAAGCATAAGTTACAGAATATAATTAATGTAATAGTTATGGAAATAAATTGGTGGCAAGTTTAGAATCTTGTGTTTAAAGACATGGGCTCCAGATCCAGAACACCTGGGTTCAAATCCTGGCTCTATCACTTAGCAGTTGGGTGATGATAACATGCTTAAGTTTTCAGTACAGAAAAACTGTTGCTCTCTAGATCCTATCGACAGTTAAGACGGTAAAACTACAGCATTATATAAAAAGTAGAATTGTAATATTGATTAATTGCTTGTTTTCAATTATACTTTTTAACCAAATTTTCATCAACCAGAAAATTTGCACAAGGCATAAAAAAAATTCTGCCACCGAGTAACAAGTAAGCCAAGACTATGAATTCGAATAACTAAGTACAACACTATGGGCAAGTTCATGGTAAAAATCAGACGAACCTAGTTCTGCCACAGGCTAAGCACATTTGGAAGGCAATTCAATTCTTCCAATACATACTGGGATTTCCCATCCTATTCCACTGAGTCACCACTGCCCCGACACTTTCCAGTTACTTTTTATCCCGAGATGTAGATTAAACGTTTGCCTCAGCAGCTAAGTAAACACAAACCCTACTTCTCAGGACATTTGAATTTACAACATACTTAATAAGGGAAATGTCTATACTGGCCAAGTGAGTCTATCTTCAGAAATAAAGTCCTTTTGGTGTCCACAGAGGTTGATCAACGCCTGTGTGTTCCACTGGTATGTTCACTTATGTCAAATTTAAGTAGCACATCTTATCTACCCTGCTTAAACAGTACATCCAAAGTTAACCTAGGTAGGAATGTATAATTAATATTACAAAATAAGATGTCTCCAAAATTTAAAAATTTCCACAACTTATTTTTAACCTTCAACTGCTAAACTTACAAATTTTCCTAATAGAAACATGAATGAACAGAAGTGTTTTTAAGTGAAATCACATTTAATAGCAAGAAAATGCAATATCCTGATCAATCATAAATAGAGAAACTAATAAAGAATGAAATGCTGGGTCAATAAACACTTTGAGCAAATATTAAATGAATACTCTTACGGCATGACTTCAATTCCCAAAATAATATAGTAATATACTAATGTTACAGAGAAGCTATCCAAATAACCTCAGCTAAAACACAGCATCTTTGTTGTCTGTTTCTGAAAGTATGCAAATTAAGAATAACTTCCAATTAAATTCTCCTAGCAGTCAAATTTACTTTGTATCAAATAACTGTTCCAAGCACTGTATAAACCATGTTAAACCTTTCTAAGTCAATATTCATTTGTGGCCAGACAGACACATGTGATCACACATAGTGCTGTTCCTAAATGAAATGGGAACCAATTCCACAAGTTTTCCTGAAGCAGATTTTAAGTTGGCAAACAGGTTCCATACTAAGCAAGGAAATGTTTCACTTCTGTGGAAACTTCATTCTGTTTCCATCTCGTCAGGGTTTCACTTTCCATAACCAAACACATGAAAGGTCAGTAGGGGGCACAAAGGAGGTACACGTGCATGGAAGGCTCAGGTTGACAGCTACACAGCCTGCTTCTGAGCCATCTGGATCCTCCTCCCAGAGAGGCACAACAGGGGACAGAAGGAAAAGTTGGAAGATGTATAATCTGCCTCAGTTAAGCCTTCCTGAATGGAGACGCCTACATACACCCATTCATGAATGAAGGGAAACTTGGTATGTTTTTAAAGTACTGAAATTTTACGTGTAAGTTTTAATAACTTTTCACTCTCAAACTGATCTGGACTCAATCCATACTAACGGATATAAGCTTTAAACAAAATATAAATGACAATATTGAGTCTGATACAGAATAACACAAATGAATATCTCCATGAGTTATATCACCTTTCTGACTAGAAGTGCAAAGTTAGATTTTATGATATATAATTATATATTTCCCCCAAATTAGAATAGCCTACTTTATTGGGATGTTTGGATATTATTATAGACACTACCAATTAATTCAGATTCAAAACGAAATATGAAAAGTCAAAATATGAAACTACTAAAAAAAATATGAAACTACTCTTGAAAACGGCAATTTTCTATCCTACAACATTGTGTCATATCTTAGGGAACCTTTTTTTAAGTTTGAAATGACAATCTCAAAGAGACTATGTCAACAGAAACCCCTTGAATAGGATGCACTATGTTTTATTTTTCCTTAAAGATATTATGCCCTATGAGTATTCTGCTATTTTAACAAGGCTTATACTCTAAGGAATATGAATTCTGACAAGCAACTAGAAGGCCACTTCACTACCACAACCGAAAAAAAAAAAAAATGCTGAAATGAAAACCTCCAATTCTAAATGCTGGCTAGCATTCACCAGGCCTCATGAAATTCCAAACAACTCCAATGAAGGTTACATCCTCTTCCTGAAATAGCCTTTATTTTTAAACCTGCTTTCTGTATCAGTGATGCTTATCTTTGTTAAACACTCACCTGCGATTTTTTGCAGCAAAGGTGATAATTCAGACTCCTCACAAAAGACCTGAGCCAATGTGTTCTTCACTTTTTCTTCAGCTTCACCCAGGTCTTTGTCTGCTGTGAACTCTCCACTGACGGAATAAATATATATCAGGAGGATCAACAGCTCTTCAGGGCTGTAGTCATCCTTGGTCCTCTGGTTTGAAGGCTTAATCATGGGCAGCAGCTGACTTAACACAACAGACATTGTTGACTCCCCAATGTTCTGAAAGAAAAGGTAGAAATATGAAAATAAATCAGTCTTATACAAAGACGTAATGTATGTGCTACATCAGTCCAAAGATAGCTTGCAAACAAGTTTGTGATGTTCACTGACTCGATGGCTTGTTATTTGTTTCTTATCCTAGAGAGAATACTGCAAGAAGTTGGGCATTATAGTATTTTTTTCTTGAAAGATCTAGCTTATAAAACAGCTAGTCAAGTTGTAGACCTTTTTATATTATCTTACATGTTGCTTAAACAAATAAGAGTACACTAGTTTTAAAAATAAAAACATAGGGGCCAGCCTGGTGGTGTAGTGGTTGTTTGCACACTCCGCTTTGGCAGCCCAGGGTTTGCAGGTTCGGATTCCAGGCATGGACCTACGCACCACTTATCAAGACATGCTGTGGCAGCGTCCCACATATAAAGTAGAGGAAGATGGGCACTGATGTTAGCCCAGGGCCAGTCTTCCTCAGCAAAAAGAGGAGGATTGGCAATGGATATTAGCTCAGGGCTAATCTTCCTCACCAAAAGATAAAAAATAAATAAAAAATAGAGGCCAGCGCAGTGGCATAGTGGTTAAGTTTGCGTGTTCTGCTTTGGTGGCCCAGGGTTCACAAGTTCAAATCCCAGGCACAGACCGACACACTGCTCATCAAGCCATGTTGTGGTGGCATCTCACATGTAAAATAGAGGAAGATGGGCACAGATGTTAGCTCAGAGCCAATCTTCCTCAGCAAAAAGAGGAAGATTGGCAACAGACGTTAGCACAGGGCCAATCTTCCTCATAAATAAATAAATAAATAAATAAATAAATAAATAAATATATAAGTACTTCATACAGTACAAATTTTAAATCAAAATAGTATATTTGTAAAATAATACAATTAAAAATAAAAACATGCCAGTTTTTATTTTTGTAAAATATCCTATATATATCCAAATGAATGCTAAAATTCATATGACAGCATATTCTTTTTAATATTCTCTATATTGGCAAATATTAGTCAGAATAGGTTTTTTTTATAACAATGAAAATTTTCCGCTAATCTGGTGACTAGAATAAGGGATTAAACCGTTAATGTCACTTAGGGTTCAAGATATTTTTGGGTAAGTCTGAAGGTAATTCACCTTAAAACTTTCAAAAATTTTTGCTTTTAGCTCTTCCACCAATTTGTTGAACGATATTTAGCACAGAATTTCAAAATTCCTTGCATGGGATAACAGCAATGCATTACTGGAGTAACTGCATAACTTCCAAGGAACTATACACTTTTCTAGTACAAGTTCTGAGATTTTTGGTAAATAGATAAATCCCCATTTTAAATAATATGATTTAATTTCACTTATAAAATAACCCTATGAAATAAAACTGAATTATTTGTATTTGTATTAAAACTGGGGGCCAAATGGTCACAACTTGCAACTTTCACGTTGTTCATTCAGAAGTGTTCATTGAGCATCTACCATGTTCCGGGTACCATTTTGGGTCTGGGGATACACCAGTGAATAAAACAAATCCCCTGCTCTCAGAGACCTTCCACTCTAGTTGGGGGAAACAGACAACTAAAAAGCTAAAGAAGTAAAATATATAGTATACTAGATGGTAGTAAGTGCAATGGAGAAAAATAAAGCAGGAAAAGAAGATGGGACTTCAGGGGGTGTGTGTGTTTATGTGTGTGGCTATGCATGATTTTAAAGAGGAAAAGCCATTTTAAGAAGGGAGTATGGGAATAAAGAAAGACCTATAGAAACTCTCTCTCTTTCTGAATGAAGTTGACAGGAAGCAGCTGAATGTGATTCTGTATTGGGGTGACTATCCAAAATGAGCTTTTCTAGTGAAGTCATTTCCACACCTGGAAAAATTTGGATATATCATCTCAAGGGTAAGGTTCACAGTTATATTATTTGGTACACAGAAAACAGCTGTCACCACTTATTTCCACTAAAAATCTTGGATGTTCACAATGTACCACGCAAAATAAAATGGTGAGTCTTTGGAATGAATAAGGTACAAATGGAAAAGAACAGAATGGAGATTTTGCTGTTATATGGTGACAAGACGTGATCCACCCAGTATAAACACACCCACTTCTCAAAGGAAATGCCTGAAAGGTTTGACAGCATCCTAGAACTGTCCTATACCTTCGGGAGTCTCTTGAAAGGAATGTTCAAGCGTTCTTTCTTTGCTTTACAAGCCGACAAGAGCAATTTAAAAGAAACGAGCCGTGTGGTTGGCCTGTTAAAGGAGGGACCGTGGGGGCTACAGCTTTCGTTTTCACTCTTTACCCTATCGCCAACTCCTTGGATGACATTAAGCAGATTCCTTCATTGCTTTATATCCCATTTTTAAAATGTAAGTGTATACATCAAGTGTCTATCTTATAGGAGCTCTCTGTTTCTCTCCCCAGAGCAAAAGGATTGTTTTAAAAGATAGTTATAAAAAATAAAACAGGGTAGGATAATCATCGTACTCATTTGAAAAGATTCACTCACAAATGTCTGGCCATCAAAGCATCATTTTTCAAGTTGTTGATCTAAGATATGTGGCTAGAGAGCAAAATCCCTCATTACTGAACACTCTAGCAGACTTCTGCTGGTTAGCTAATACCTGTGCACACCAATTTCTAAAATTACATTCTAATCTGCTTAACGCATCCCAAGAAGTTAATACTTGAGTTGAATACAAAGCCAAGAGTACTTATCAGTCTTAAAGAGGCATGAGAAATATAGTGGAAATAAAGAGACTCCATTTTAAAAAGCCAGATTCCAATCCTGACTGTTCCACTAACTAGTTCCTTCATTTCTTAGACTCTCAGAAAACTTCTTAGGATCTCTTCCTCTCTAAAATGACATGATCTGACTAGAAGATGGCTGAGTTCTTAAGTCATGTTTATGTAAAGGTCTCCATTTTCACTTTCTTCTCCCTTTTTTTTTTCTACATTACCATTGATGGTAGAAGGCTACAAATCATATTCTCATTGTTGGCTACACAGCAAAATATAAATGCTCAGAAAGGAAAAGCTTTACTGTATAAACAAATGTAGATACAGAAATATTGTAGATACGTGTGTAACAGGGGCTGATATAGATACACATATTTCCTAACTCTGACCACTGAGAGGATCTAGAAGTAATGACACCCCAATAGCAATGAGCACACCTAGTGGTCAGATCTTAGCTTCTAATATCATTCTCAAATAAAAGGAACCAGGGATCCTTGGAGAAATGGTTGATTCTAGGGATGGGGCAGGGAAAATACAAGAGGAACCTGGAAGATCTTGTAGTGCCAGAAAGAAAGGAAATCTTTAAAAAAACAAAAGATGAGGCTTCCTTCTAAGACTGAAAAATCATTGATGACAAGAACCACATCTTATTCTTAATGGTATCTCCAGCACCTAGCTCAGTCCTTTGAACATAGTATCAAAAGTATACTTATCTCTATAATGAAGTAGCTGACTTCAGAAAAAGAGAAATGAACATTTATAAATATATAATTATAGATTATCCCATTTAATCCTCCTGATTACCCTGTAACATAGGTATTATTATTTTAGAGGAAGAAATTGAGGTTGAGAAAGGTTACTTGTCAAGGACATCAGCTGGTGAATGGTTGAGCTAGGATCAAAGTCAAGACTGGCTTTCTCCAAAATCTACATCTGGTCCACTACACATTTCCTCTCCAGTGCTTCCCAGTCAGAGGGAAACCAGAGTCTGTGGGAAAGGGGAATCCAAACCCTTGAGACAGGGTATGATACCAGGATTCTGACTAGGACAGATCATCAAGGGAACCCAGCAGATGAGACAAATCAGGTAAGAGCAAGAGCAGCTGTAGGCCAACTTAACATATCAGACGAGATCTACTAACTTACAGCTATTTAACCCCTGGTGAGGTAGATGACTGGCCCCAAAACCTCACTCAAGGTTAAAAACCTCTGGTGGACAGATATGTAGTTCCAGCCACAAATGTTACAGCAGAATTTCCCATCCAGGGTGTCACCATGGCATGTTTACCCCTCTACTCCAAGCCCAAGTGACAGCTGGATGGGGCCTAGGGCAGCCAGTGCCACCGGGTCACTGATCTCCAGTTCTGTGTAGCCTTCAACCCAGTATGTCCTACAAAAACAGCATAGTTTTCCATTGTACCTACAACCACGTGTAAAAAGGATGGGACGTGCTGAAGAGATATGCCCAAAAAGGAATCAGATACTGAAGTCATCAAAGAGGGTGGAAACAACAAACAAACACATAGATACAGAGATTAGGTTGGTGGTTACCAGAGGGGAAGGGAGTAGGGAGGAGGGCAAAAGGGGTGACTGGGCACAAGTATCCAGTGACAGATGGAAATTAGTCTTTGGGTGGTAAACATGATGTAGTCTACACAGAAATCGAAATATAATGATGAACACCTGAAATTTATATAATGTTATAAACCAATGTTCCCTCAATTAAAATAAATGTTAAAGGCAAAAAAAAGAAAAAAAGAAGTAAATCACATAGCACAATGCCTGGCACATAGCCTCTCCATGGAATCCTTTCTTACCCAGCAGAAGAGGTTAAGGTGACAGGTAAGGGAACGAAATACCTTCTAGGAACTGGAAGTGAGTAGTCTCAAAGGAGGGAGGAGCAGCCTACAAATACTGCATATGAAACCACATCTTGGAACTTAACTGCAAAGTTAGTCAAGGTTAAAGGCAATATAAACATTATTAAACACAGCCATTAAAAAAGCACACACAGTGCAAACCACAAAAACAAAAAAACGGCTTCTTTATAAAGTGCCAGGGATTAAATTTCTCATTCATTTTGATATAAATGGGCCTACTAGTAGGAGGTGAAACACTGGAGCTGTGTCTAGAGTGACAAAATCTTTTTTTTTTATTCTGTAGTCTAGGGCTCTTGTTATTTTTGAATGAGTCCCCAGTAACTCCATATAAAAGGCCCTCTGTAAAATGTGTGTTGTCTTTAGAAATGCCAACTTTTGGGCTGAATTAAAACACCTCT